TATATATATAATAGACCCTAATTAAGTGTTTTCTGTGATCGACAGGACCTGTGTGGAGAAGCGCAGAACGAAGACGAGACTAGCCCCGACGCAGAGGGAGAGCCTTCTAATGAGGAGGCTGGGTTCACATACATGCATGTATATAACTCTAATCTAGTTCTTTGCTGCGATCGACAGGACCCGTGTGGAGAAGCGCAGAAGAAAGACGAGACTAGCCCCGACGCAGAGGGAGAGCCTTCTGATGAGGATGAGTTCATGGGTTCACATTAAACCCTAATCTGGTCTTTGCTGCGATCGACAGGACCCGTGTGGACAAGCCGAGAAGGAAGACCAGACTAGCCCCGATGCAGAGGGAGAGCCTTCTGATGAGGATGAGGCAGCAATGTGAATGCAAGATTACTAGATCTGCTTGCAAGGTCCATAATCGAGTTTTCGTGTGGTGGGCAGGAGATCGAAAGAGAGGAGAGCAGTGCCCAAGCATCGGATGAGGAGACGCAGCTAGTCCCGAAGGGTTCAGGTGACGACAACAGCGATGACGAGGCTGACCGCCCGGTGGTTCAAGCTGATGATGATGAAGCAGAGCCTTCCGCTACACAGCCCAACCGAGGCCTGCACGCATGTGTGTGTGTGTGTGTGCCAGTCATGGGTATAAACACACAAACAACAAAGAGCCATAGCTACAGACCCTGGCAGGTCAATCCACTAGGAGGCTGGATCGAGAGCCTTGCATGCACACAGTCCCCTGTGTTTGTTTGTTTCTTGGTAGCTCGAGCGCTGTAACCCTGAACCTAAACCCTGAGCCTCTGAGCCGAAGCCCTGTCATCTTAAGTATCCTAGGCACTGTCGCGTGCTGATTCGATGCAGTTCGACGTTTCCTACAACAAGAAACCAGGACGAGCCCTTGCAGCCACGTTGCAGGCTGTGGATCTCCCGAAGCTGCAGAAGGCAGCTTTGGAAGAAGCGGCGCACCAGCCGCTTTCGCCTTCCGAGCAACTAGCAGTTCTCAGAGCTGAAAGAGGCTCGAAAAGGCCGGGTGTCGTAAAAGCACTAGACCTCGGAACTCCGAAGTCTCATGACTCTACCCCCGTACAGGAAGTCTCCGGTGGAGGCGAAAATCTGTGTGGACCTAGGAAACGGATGGTATAAGGAAATGCGGCCTCGCCTCAAGGGCAAGCAGGCTGGCACACTTTATGTGTGCTACACCCACAAAGAGCTGGGCTGCTTCGATTCCAGAGTCAAAGCGGAAAAGGCAGGATGTGTGGATCCAGAGCAACTCGTCTGCAATATCTGTCATGGACATGCTGCAGAGAAAGAGAGAGAGAGAGAGAGAGAGTGAGAACAGCCAAGGCCGGATGGCCGTTCGAAACGCGGCAAGGGCAAAGCCAAGGCCAAACCAAAGGGCAAGGCCAAACCAAAGGGCAAGGCCAAAGCAAAGAGCAAGGCCAGAAAAGACACACCCGACCAGACCGAGAAGATGTCCGAAGCCGAAGAGCCCGATGAAAA